ACTATGCATTTGTTGAGATTTCTGAAATCTCTCAATATGAGCAGTAGCCTTATTACACAGAAACTAAAATATCCTTAAGAGAGCATTGAATAAATAATGACCAAAATAATCTCAGTGTTAAAATAAATTGATGAAATCACATCAGTAAGATAGTTCCACCAAGTAACACTGGGATGAGCACAGTCTGTGACTAGCCAAAACACTGATATATTCACTCTGCATAAGGCTATGGTTTAACAATTCCTAAATATGTATCTATAGCCTGGAACTGAAAAATTACATAATTCAATAGAAGATGATGGAAGCTAAGTTTCTGTGTCTTAGAGTGAAAAGTCATGTAAGCCACAGAGATATACATAAATATTAATACATTGTCTGCCACCAGAGAGGTACCAAAACACCCCAGCAGCAAGAGGAACACTTAAATATCCAGGTACTTGTTGCCAACAAGAAGAAATATAGGCGTTTGGGATGATGACAGAATACAGCAACTGCAGAAAAATATACGGAGGAGAGTAGCAGTAGCAGAGTACAAGATATAATTAAAAATACATTAAAAACCAAACCTCTAAAATTGTAGTAAGGTTGTGTGAAGTTCCACTAAAACTAAAAAAAAAAATAGCTTTATGAATAAAGAAAACGTAGAGACTGGAGAGGTGGCTCCATGGGCAAGGTGCTTGCCCAGTAATATCCTTGTAATCCCAGCACAGTGAAGATGGAGGCGATCCAATTCCTGGAGATCAGGTGTTAGCCAGCCTGTGGAAGTTGGTGAATTCAGGTTAACTAAAATCACAACACATGAGATTGAGCACAGTTAAGGAAGGTATGCAGAGGTGACTCCTAGTCTCTGTATTTGCACAAAGGTATATAAGCAAACATACAGACATGTGCAAACATGCACACACATACACACAGAGGAAAATTGTATTATAATCCAAATGTATGAGTCCATAGCCACATAAATAGATAATCAAACATATTATTGCAGAATAGATACCTCTCTTGCTGATAATCCCAATGTGTTTTGTAGATTATCTTCCCTTAAGATAAGAAAAATCACTCTGTACTTCATGAGTATGGACAGTAGAGAAAGATTTTATTTCAAATACTGCAGTAAATTTGGGGGAAATATTTAACTTACAGTGACAAATTTGTCAATATTTTTCAGGCAGAGGTCAAGGTGACAAGTCATTTGGCTAAGGTACCTCTGATTTGATTAAGTGTGTATGCCACCTTATTTCTGATTTTCTTTCCAATGCAGGTATTGTCAGGAAAAACCATGAGAAAAAATTCACACAAACACAATGTGAAGGACATGCAACAAAAGAGCTAATCTGTTTTACAAATCTGTCAAGAATATAAAAACAAAAGGGCGAAGAAATGGTGGCATCCTAAAGAAAGCTGAGGAAATCTTAATGAGCTTTATGTGTACCTATTGTGGATGGGATCTTGGAAGAGTAAAGGCACATTAGGTAAAAATGAGACAATCAAAGTAATCATGAATTCAGTTCAAATGTATTCATGTTATGCTAATTCAGTAATTATAAAATGTGTCATGATATACATCACTTGGGAGTTTGAGGTCTCTCTATAGGTATCTTCTGTATCATATTGGTAATTTAATTATTTGAGGAATAGACAACATTGCAGTAAGACAGTCAACAACAATACTCAAAATAATAATTCTGAACAACTTAGTGGAAGTGTCATGGGTTTACAAGGAATATGTGCAGAAGGAAGATGAAAAAGGAGGATTGTTGATGGTGGGGAGGGGGAGGAGGAAGATGAAGGAACTGAAGAAAGTAAAAAAGAGAATGAATTGGAGGAAGAGGAGGAAGGGAGAGAAGGAGGAGAACAAAAAGGCAGTGAAGGGGATTGGAGGAAGCAGTTCAGAGCACAAACAAAAACAGAAACTCTAAATTTGAAAGAGGATCAGAGAGAACTAAATGTAATGAATTTGAAATCAAGAAATGCATCTTATATAAATATATCTACACATATTTCTTGTGGTGTAATTAGCTTACATAAAAATAAATGTACTTATGAATTTAAGAACTAGCCATTGAAAAGTAAAATTGCAAGTAAATGCATGAAAAAAAAATCATCCTTTGAGAGGTTGCCTAGACTCAGGAAAACAAATGTGGTATGTATTCACTTATATGTGGGCATTAGCTTTTAAATCAATGATAACCAAGCTATAATTCATATAACCACAGAAGTTAGGCATAGAGAGAGGGACTAAGGGCAGACAGGTAGATCTTCCTAGGAAAGGGTAAAAGATTAGATAGCTAGGGATGGATATGGGGGATGGAGCAGGAAGATAAAGTAGGGAAGGAGTGAGGAGAGGCTGCTGGGGGATATCTTTCTGCATGCCATGAATATAGGATGTCCCCATTGGTTAATAAATACATTGCTTTGGCCTATGGCAAGGCAGCTTAGAGGCAGGCAGGAAAGGAGAGAGACAGGAAAGAAAAATGCAGAGTCTTGAGAGACCAAGCCAGCTGCCCAAGGAGCAACATGTAATGGGACACAGGTAAAGCTACTGAACACATGGCAAAACATAGATTAGTAGAAATGGGTTAATTTAAGATATAATTGCTAGGTAGTGAGAATCCTGCCATAGATTCTACAGTTTATAAATAATATTAAGCCTCTGAGTGATTATTTTATAAGTAGCTGCAGGACTACAGGGCGGGACTGGACTGGAGAAACTATCTGACTACAAACAGCAGATATGGGAGGAAATAAAGGGACAGCTAAATTGGGGGCCATTTGAGGGATAGTATTGAAATCTGATGCAATAGATGCTTCCTTAAATACATACATGTATGAAGGCATTCCAAATGGAATCCCCAAATGATGGAGGAGATAGAGTCCCAACTGGCCATCTCTTGTTACCAAATGAAGCTTTTGTTACCAGAAATGAGTTGCATTTAATTGAGTTTTTGGCCAAAAGAGTCCCATGGGAATCTATAAACAGTGCCAACTATTGACAAGACCATACATGGCTCTCCACAAACTGATGTGTAGGCCCCACTACTGAAGACTAAACCAATACAACTCATTGAACATGGAGAAGTCAAGCCAGTGTCTACACAGTGTCTTTACCTCTGTATTCTGGTTTCTTGGTCCAGGAAAGTACTCTACAGACAACCCAAAGAGAAATGTAAACATTCTCTCAGACAGAATACTTTTGACCTACAATGTTGTTCTCCATGCAAAATATGCTAGGGCAATGTTGTACAAAACTTTTGAAAGTAACCAGCCATTGTCTGATTAGATTTAAGGCCCAGTACTTAAGGTGCAGACCACAAACTAGAGACTAGATAGGCCAGAGACCTAGGGTAAAACCAAATACTACTTTCTTTAAAATGTTGTAATAAAATGACTACTAATGACATTCTACTATCTTCTCCATCAATTAGCAGAGAAGCTTCCTCCTGCATCAAATAGGAACAAATATAGGGACCCACAGCCATACATTTTGCTGTGCATGAGAAACTTTGGAACACTCAGCCCTGAATGTGAAGTTTGCATCAAATCCCTTTCATCAAGATTCACAGAATCCTCTGGAAGAGGATATAGAAAGAGTGTAAGAGCCAGAGGGGATAAGGGATACCAAGAAAACCAGGTCCTCTAAATCTACATGATCAAGGCTCACATGATCTCACAGAGGCTAAGGCAACATGCACAGGGCATGCATGGGTCTGCACCAGCTTCTCTGATTATATATAATGGCTTACTGTTTTTATGGGGTTATTGAGTGTGAAAACTAGAGGGTCTCTGATTCTTATCTCTTCTCTTGGGTACTTTTCCTTATGTGTTTTTTGTCTTATCAAACTCTGATGTATTAGATATTGTTTTATCATGTTTTTTATTTTCTTATTATCCATTAACAGCCTGTTATTTTCTAATGAGAGACTGAAATGAAGTTAACTTGGATGGGATGGGAGATATGGAGAAACTAGGAGGAGTAGATGGTGGGAAATCCTTTATCAAGATATATTATATGAGAAAAATTTATTTTCATTAAAAATAGAAAAATAATTTTTTCTCAATGGCATTGATTGAGATGGGAAATTTATTACAATAGAGATTAATAAATGTTCATGATAAAGAAATAAAAACATAATGACAACCTAATGCAGGGTTTATATTAGTGATGTGTAGGTACAGAAGTCTCAGATATGGAAAAAAATCAAGGGAACCTGGAAATGGAAGCAGGAGTTGGAAGATGAGAGGTGATCTTGTGCCGAACTCAATATGAATCACAGTCAAATGAAAGTAAGGATCACCGAGGTTTTCAATTATGGAGTTACTAGTGAACTTCAAAAGAAATGGACTTCAGTTTGTATGGCAATTACGATTGAATGAGGTGGGAGTATGCAGTGTGTCCTTCAGAACTCTGTTAGAATTCCAGCTCTGCCACTTGCTAATTATGTCTTATTGTCCAGACTACCAAATGAGACCAAGCTGTATTTACTCATGCACAAAATAGATCTAGCCACATTTGTCTTATCAAGGTACTGTAGCCACTTTACATTTAGAACTATTTAGGCATTGTATCCCACAATGAGTATCACTTCAATAAATGGAGGTAGCAGCTAAGGAAAACTAATTATTCTCTTAGATCACTTTGGTAATAATATATGCTGGTTTTCAGTAATGACTCATGCTTTCTTTAGGCTTGACCAACTGGGGAAAATATAAGGTAGGAAAACCGATTTTAGAAATTGCAGATATAGGGAGGGTGATGGCTCTGATAAATCTGGAATTACGGGAGGCTGGAAATAGGAAATAAAAATAAGTGAGTTAGTATTGTTTGCAAAGTTAAACCCAGAGTGAGGTTGTTGATACTGATAAATTAAAAGATGCTTTGTGATACTGTTTCTAATATACAGACTGTCAGTAATATAGAGATGCATTTTTCCTGTACTATGTACTCTACACTTTGAATACTGTGTAAGATATCAACAACAGAACCAATGATGTGTGGGTTATTTTTCTTAATAAAGAAGTTTAATGATGAAGTATAATATGATTCAGAATCGCCAGGGGCCATTGTTAACTTCATTTGTAAGAACAATATAATAAACACTAGCCTGAAAGTTGGAAGATAATCATGGGAAGAGTCCCATAATGGATATTGACATTAGATTTATTCAGGTCTTCACAATCAAAGTGTTTTAATTCCTTATTTATTATTTCTCAGTCTTATTCAAGTTGTTTGGGTTTTCTTTCATCATATTTCTTCAATTTTCATAAAACTATACAAATATGAATAAATTAAATGCCTAGGTAAATTAAAAACTTTTAATAAATTTGCCAATTAGATTGATTGCAGAAAAATCCACAACACTAGAAATTATGAGAAATTCAGTGAAGAAATTCAGTGGCATTTCACAATACTAATTAGAAAAAACATTTATATGCATTCATCTGCATATGCATTATGTATACATAAAAAAACAGGAAAAATTTGTTGATGTGGTTGTTTGTTAAAGTGGATATAACAGCTAAATTTCTCAGAATATATTTTACAGATTTTGTTTATATTTGTATGTCCTTCTATACTGAAAAATATTACAATGATAACTATTTTCATGATAAGGGAATATTTTTTGTAAAACTTTCTTTATACTATTTTCATAATACGTAAATGGATGTATCTGTATCAACGTTTTTATGTTTACAGCAAACCTGATGTCACATAGTCTATGTAGCACTCAGCATTTGGGGTATATGAGTTGAAGGTTAATGGTTTAGTGATGGGATTGTGGGTGGAACTCAGTAGTGGATTTTCCTATTGGAAAGCAGTGAAGCCTTTGGTCCAAAAGTGGACCTTCTCACATGACATTAAAATATGTCAGAATCTTATTTCAAGTAAAGAGAAAACTGAATTGAGGAATGAGAGAGGCTGAAGGGAGTATGTTTAAAAGAATGCTTAAGATAATATGATTTCTTCCCCTACACTGTGACTTTGCATCCAACTTAGGGAGAAAAATGAATAAGTAATTGGTAAACAGCTATAATTAAAATAATAAGAAACTCAAGATAAAACTTACATATTATTAGCTGTAAAATAGAAAAAGAAAAAACAGAACCATAACAAATACCCTGGTAATTTACAAAAAATCCCTGTGAATACAATGGTTACAACTAATAGAAATAAATAAGATGAACATCGCAAAATAGGATAACACATGTAGTGGAAAGTAAAATTCAAAAGATAATACAATTTACTATTAAACAAAGAATATACAAAAACCAAGTATTAAAATTACAAAAAAGTAAACATTAAGATTCCACCAGAGTGAACAAAGGGAAATTTAACAGAATTACAGGTTCCAAAGCTCCATACTAAAAGAGGGAGAAAATATTTAGTCATGAGAATGACAACATATGTGTAGAGACTTAAAATGAAACTTCTTAACACTGAGATAAGGAAAATGATGAATAGCCTCATACAAAACACTGTATCTTATTTGATGTAGGTTGGGTACAGGCAGCCTTCTGTTTCACCTAGTGAGCTGATGACAGAATATGAGACAAAATACGCTTTCCAAATAAATGCGTTTTATTTTAATCATGTGCATATGTGTGTATTTCTTTAAAGGTATCTGCATGTGTGTATGCAGGTATATTTAAGTCCAGAAGTGAGTATCAAAATTTCTGGGTAAGGAAGTTAGTTGACAGTCATGTGGCATCCTGAGAACCGTGCTGGGAACTGGACCCAGGTCCTCCTGAAGAGCAGCAAGTTCTCTTAAAATTGAGCAATTTCTCCTCCCCCAAAACCACTTTTTAACATAACAAGGAAATAATGGATCCAAATAAGTTTTAGAGAGCTAACCAAACAGCCACTTTTTTAGAGGACAAGGGGATAGTTATTAAGGAAAGGATCTTATGTAAGCCAGTCCTCTTTCATAATCAGTCTTTTGGCTAGTAACATAACACTAAGTTAAACCACCTCCATTTTTAGGAATGCACTTAATCAGTATCCACTAAAATACAATGTTTTCATATTTACATTTGTTTTAAGTTATGATTATTGATGTTGTTTTCATTTTTATTGTTTTTCTGTATTTGTGGGTCTTAGAGTGGAACCCAGGGCTTGTGTGAATCCCCTATTCTATCATGATATTGCATAATAACCTCAGATTTCCTAATGGTACTGACATTTTTGCATAATTTTTAAGGAAAGAGAATATCCCTTCCTCAATAACTGGGTTATCATTAAGATATGATGCTTTTTCTCTCTTCTTGTACATTCTTCTACATTTTGATTTCACCGAATATTTTTCATATATATCCATAAAGAATAATTGCATAGTTCTCTGAAGTAGAACTCATGAATTTTCATGACTGATCAGTCAAGTCCCTATATGATTAAAATTATTTTTATGAAAATGATTTCAAATACCCATGAGTCTTCAAATTATCTTAGTCTGTATGTAAATTATTGGCTATGTTTCATACAGTCATTACTATAATTTAAGGATAAGAAAACTTCAGAGTAATTGTACATGACACTAAATATAGCAAATTAGTTTTACTAAAAAGAATAAAACACTGAAGGCCAAGGAATTTGATCCATAGAACATTTTGAATCTATAGAGTGAATATGGTTCAAAGCACGCAGATTGGTTTCTAGTACATCAATAACACTGCTTCACTTTTATATATTGATTGTACACATCTTTGAATAGCAATACGTTTTATATATGTACATATGTAAATCTATAAAGGTAGACATGCAAGCCAATAACAAAATTGTGTTTTAATTGTTTATAGCTAAAACCATTCATATAAATTTTTAACATTTTATATTGCTTAATGCTTTAATGAAAGTCAAAACCCATTTGCATGAATAAAAACATACCAAGGTATTACAGATATTGAAATATTAGACTTAGAACTTTCATTAATCTAAAAGATAGAATAATCCCTCTAATTGTAAGCACCAAGGGATCTCTTTTCCACATCACATATCACTTTGATCATTAAGTCTAAGCTTATTTTTATTTTACTTCCATTGGTTGTTGTAAATTGAATGCTATTTAGAAAGTAATTATTAATAACTTCAGATTGGGATTGGATGGATCCATATACTGAAGTACCAACCCAAATTCCTTAGACTGTGATTAGATTTGATGATAAGGCCTTTAATAAGGTTAACAAGGTAAAAAGAGGTCCTGTGGGTAGATGCTGCTGTTCTAATAAGAAGGTTGCCCTTATGAAAAGAGAAAGAGAAACAAGCACAAAGATCAGACCACAGTGGAAAGAAAGGAAAAGAGAAGGGAAGGGAAGAGAAGAGGAGAGGAGAAGGGAGGAGAGGAGAGGAGAGGAGAGGAGAGGAAAGGAGAGGAAAAAAGAAGAGAAGAGAGGAGAAGAGAAGAGAGAGAGAGAAGAGAAGAGAAGAGAAGAGAAGAGAAGAGAAGAGAAGAGAAGAGAAGAGAAGAGAAAGAAAAAAAAAGAAAAGGACTACTCTAAGAACAGGAGAAGATGCTGAGAGGAAATCTTCTGTTAGATCTGAAGAAATACACTTTATTTTTTAAAGACACTTTCTTTGTGATAACTTGTTATGATCAGCCTAGAAAGCTAATGAAGTAATGCAGGAAATGACAAAGATATTTGGAGCTGCATGTGTGATGAAAACCAAGAGCTACACATTGCATGTTTTCATTTTTTCTTAGTCATGTGGTTTAAAACAATCTGTCTCTCAGATCTTCATGTCATCATGGCTTCTGCTCAGCAACTTTATGAGAAGGCAGTTATATTTTCTGTGAAAATACTAAATGCAATAAGCTTTAATAAGAATTATGTATTAATAGGATGTGGTCTTGCATATTAACCTTCTTCAAGAAGACAATCTCTATACATAGAGAAATAAGAAGTAAGTTACATTAGTTTTTTCTTCTCTAGTGTGGTAATGTAATTATAAGACAGTTACTTTTCTCAATTGTGAAATACTGAAAATTTTTATTTATTACATAAAAATTGAAACAACAGTAGAATAGTATGCTGACTGAAAAAAAATTAAATCCCATTGCAAAAGGAATAAAGTGAGTCTAAAGATGTGGTAAACAGAGAAACAAATGGGCATATCCTTACAACATGAAAAATTAAAAATATGAATTAGAGAATATGCTTAAATTAATTTGTCCATTATTTACTTTCTAAGATTCCACAGTGTAAACTTTCATCTTCATATCCCCACAAATGATAATTATCTTCACTGGTATTTTAAAACAAAATTAGATAGTAGCCGTATCTTATGCATGGCTCTTTAAATAACTTTAATTTTTCCCTACATATGTTATAGGTAGAAGTTAGTTGTTACAAATACCATTGTTAAGAATAGTTGTCACTTTATGGTCAGTTTGCACTTGTCGTATCTTGTGAATTTCTGAATAATATGTAACCCATGTTGAATTGATTGGAGCCATGTTTACTAATGCAGTCATAAATTCTACCATTTCTAAGTCATTTGCACACACTGGAAAAGTTGTATACAAAGAATAAGAATGAGTAATTTCCATTAGTATTTTGGTAGATGAGATAGTGAAGAGGTTATTCTGAGCCAATAATAACTGAGTTGACAAAGTTAAAAATCAACTTCACTAGAACAAGTGAATCAGCTGCCTGGTATCCATTTTGCTCCCTTTGGGATTTAGTCATTGGTTTTATTTTCTGAAGTCCCTGACTTTATTTGTTCAGTAGTACAGAATAAGTGTGCATACTTGTTACAGATCACACTATTTGATATGTATTTCATTTGAATCATTCATCAAAGTATCACTGATAGAAATGCTAAGAATCTGAATGTTGAGTTCTTCTCATGTTTAAATTAGTTGTAAGTATATTTTCCTTTCAGAAATTTCAGTAGAAACACATGTGAAACTTTTTCTCTAACTGAAAGCTTACATGATTTGTTCACTTTTTAAAACCAGTTTCCACATACCACTATAGATTTAAACAAACCAATGTTTATTTGAAGCTGGAATTTGAGCCCTGATGTGTCTCTTTATAAAGAGGGATCCTTTTTATTTCCAGTATATAATTTTAGTTTTTGGAAAAGCAAACAGCTTAATTAACATCTTTTACATGAACTAATGTTATGATTTAAGCACTGATTTTATAATTCATGACTTATATATTGAATTTCATAACGTCTCATTTATTCCAGTTTCTGAAAGACTAAGAAAAACAAATACTTTTCGGTTTACAATTCACAAATGAAAAAGCTTTCGCTTCTAAAAAGATGGAGTTTGGGAAGTATTATTCTTTGTTCTTGAGAGGAATGAGAGTCAGCAGGTCACGATTGCTCCTTGACACATAGACACTGTCTGCTTCGTTCCCCTTTATCTCGGAATCCTGCCAAGCCATCACAGCAGAGTGTTGTGTACACCACGTTAAATGATAAGAGTTTCAATAGGCACTTTAGTGGAATTAAGAAAAATCTCACACTCTTCCACCGTGATGCCACAGAGCGATCTTCATTCTCGGTTGTCATGTCAGTGAACAGTATTTAGTAGGCCTGAGCTCGGCTCAGTGCGGTCCTGAAATAACAGAACAAAACAAAGCAAGTACATATTACAGGATTTATCTTGTGTCAGCAGAATAACCCAAAATGACAATATGATAAATAGAACAAATGTCTAGAAACTGGATAATGAAAGGAATCTTGTCTTGTAGAACCCGGGAGCCGTGTGTGTGTGTGTGTGTGTGTGTGTGTGTGTGTGTGTGTGTTATTTCTGTTACTTTGTTAATTTTTTCTTCTCTACATGTGAATCATCAACCTTTTCTTCTCTCCTAGGTGACATTATCCGGATTGTGACTCTCTTCTTCTCCAAACATATCTGCCAAGACTTTAAAGCGGGGCCCCCAGTCTGTGAGATAATCATAGTCCTGGTCGGCTTCTGTGGTGAGAGAGTCTATGGAGCTGAGTGACTCCGCCACTGACCCATTGCCCTCATATGCGTAAGTGGCCAAGGAATCGTATGGTGGGGCAGCTGGATCGGCATCGTTTTCCTGTAGCCTTTGGTGAATAAAATCCCTTATGTCTGTGTTATCTTCCACGTGTGGTCTCTGACGAGGTAGACAGAGGGAGTCTGGTTTTATATCCCTGCGAGATTTGTTCTCTTCGATCACTTTCGGATTTCTCAGAGCCCCAATGTCAAAAGCCTGGGTGTCTTCCTCCCCACCTCCTTCGTCATCATAATGGATGACATTGTCTCTGATGTCTTCCTTAGACGTCATCAAGGTGTCTTTCTTCCTCTGCCTTCTCAGTGCCACATACAGGACAACTATAGCTAGAAGAACACAAAAATAACAACTTGTTAAACAGAAGCAGCTACATCATTTTAGCTCTATAAATGCTGACATGGAACAGGAGAGCTGCATTTCTTTAATGGCCTCATAATATATTCATAGTTATAATACTATAACCACTAAGGTTATGCATAAGCTTATGAATTTTCTAACGCCAAATTCACATTGAAATACTAAATATCAGGAAATCACAGAAAAGCCATTAATAATATCAAATATTTTTCTATCTGTATTTTAGTGTTTTGGACTCAGAGAAAAAATATTAGACCAATAAAAATGGTAAAAAAGAGAAAATGTCCCCTCTAACTGTATAGATATTTGAAAGGGGTGATAAAAAAATACATAGATGTTGAGCTATAAAGGATCATGTAAATATTAGTAATGGATAAATCACCAACTACAATATTATTAGTTAAAAATATTTCAGGTAAATACTCAAAATTGGGAAGAATCAATACTAAAAGCACTATATAAGAAAGAAAGGGAATTAGAGAGAGAGAGATGGAGTAAGAGGAAGGAAAGAGGAAAGAAAACAACACAATAAATTTTGGAAATTAATACCTCTTATTGTTTCAGTTCTGAGTAATGGAATGCTTAATAATATTGTACACAAGATATATGGTATTCAATCTGACTTCTTGAGAATATACTTTGGTGTACCTACTCACCTCAATTACATTGTATCCCTTTACTTCTAATGACTGAATGCTTGCCATTAAGTTAATGGTGTTTATTATTTAAAACATCAGCAGGCATAGATAGACATAATGTAATAAGTGTACAGGTTTGGGCAACAATTTCCCATCCTTCCAAAATAGTCCCAATAGGATAAAAGCAAAGTGTATTTGTTTTTCCAGAGCAGAGATTAAATGAGAGAGTAGAGAAAACTCGAGGAGAAGTGATCATGTATATAATCCCTCTCTTTCCAAATTAAATTAAAAAGTTGAGCCTATTAGAAAGAAACAGGAGCCTTAGATATTGCTTCTATAAAATAATCCATGAATGATATTTAGGACTGTGCATTTTTCTTTTGGCATATAAGATACCCAATGTAATTTCACTGTTGCTGATAACCCAGGGGTTGGGTGATACACTGAAAACTATAAAGAGCATCCCTAAGTGTCAAAAAGCTTTAGCAGTGCAAGAGTAGAAAGACAGACTCCATAAGATATGGTGGAAGGCTATCTATAAAACAATACCAGCTCTACAGATTTCTATTGTTTATTCTCATTCCACGAAAGGACATGGAAATGGTATACTAAAAAGTATGTGGCTGTACATTCAAAGACTATTTTCTTCATGTATTTTAAAATAGAATCTTATATGAGACAATGGATGCAAATGATTCTTTTTTATGAACAAGAAGGTTAATAGCATCAAGAATAGTACAAAGAACTGTGGATATTCAGGAAGAATTCTGGGAGATAATCACACTGTAAATGTCATTGTATAATATTGATGAGTTAACAATTTGCTTGCTTATTTCATGGGGGACACATGAGCCAAAGGAGAATACCTAAAACATTTTGAGCCATATTATGAAGATACACAAGTGCTCTCAGGTTCAAATAGGTACCTGATCATAGAGGTCAAATTTGAAGTCAAATAACAATAAAAAATGGATAATTTCTGATGTGAAAATGATATTTGAAATATACAGTATAAAGTTTATAACATCAGTAAAAACATATGCTCGATGAATATTGTTATGTATTATGAAGATATAAAGAATGTTTTGTTCATATAACCAAGCCACCCACACAGAATTAATATCTATACTGTTCAAACTGGTCTAGAAATCACTATGTTCCCACGAGTGACCCACTCATGGAGCATGCTCCATAAAGTGTTAGCTACTGCTTACTACTATTTCTCATCTAGAGAAAAAAAGCTACTGCTCCCCTCCCCACTTTTTAGGATGTTTTATATGAAGACTATGCTTGCTTAAGCTCAAAGCCCAGGTTTACATCCATTTCTTTTGGTTTTAAAGAGTGACCATAAAAATAGATACTTTCTCTCACTGAAGAAATCAGTAGATAGAAAATATGAACAAAATGAATGCCAGAGTAAAAAGGTTTTAGTAGAGATATATTTATTCTGACACATTGATACAAACTGTATGCTAATTTCAAACCTTCTCCTAGCAGTATTTCTGCATATGGCAGTCAGCTCTTCTCTGTTAGAGAGGAAATTTTTACAGATTTGTTTTCGGATATGGAATGGGTTGAATGGGTTGAAGATATTTTAAGATAGAAATGTAAGCAGAATGTAAACGTATTTGGGGTCACTTACCCTCTACTTCTTTCTTAGAACATCTGTTTTCATTATTTCTTTATTGAGATTGAAATTACAAAGTATTATGCTTCTGGGATATTTTTAAACTATAGTATAAGTTTTATTAGGCAATGGCAATAGTTTGCAAAGTTGAGAAATGGTTATATTTTATTTTTGATAATAAAATCTAGTTTATTGAATGGAACTCATTGGGAGTAAAATTCTGAATAATTAAGGATTGTATTAGTAAACACAGCAATATTTATAATTTTATTGTAATTATACTCTAAGCTCAAGATTATTTGGAATAATTGGTATGCTTTTTATGAATGACATATATTTTAGAAGATTAAAAATTATAAACCCAGTTTATGCTCATGCACATGGCCTAATGAAACTTAGAAATGGTTTTAAATGAATAATTATCACAGAGAATTCCATGGTAGAAAAGAAGTCAAATTTTCAACATTAATATTCCTTATGACTTAAAGATATTATTGTTGATATATGGGAAATAACAGACAGAAAATATATTTAATAAAAAAATTATTTTAAGTAGCCAGTGATTTTTAAACTAGCTCAGTAAACAAAATTTTATAGACATTAGAGCATACAATAAAGAGATAGCTAGAGATGCAGGAAGTATGATTAATATGAAAACCAACCTAAGAGTATAACAATGCACAGAAGTATTGCAATCAGAGCTCCGGTGCTGAGTCCTACAGGTAGAAAAATTGCTTCCACATTACAAGACAGGATGGTCCCATCAGAGTCACATCTACAAACACGAATAGTCATTGTGTTCGTGCTGCTCTGGACAGGGTAACTGCTGTCTTCTATTACAACAGGAAGTAAGTATAACTCTTGCTGCCTGCGGCTGTATCCATTTCTCCGGGTTTCAATTCCAGCTGTGTTGTCTGCAAAACAGGACATTGATGATAACATAGTTACTGTGAGTTTCACTTCAAGTTTTAAATTGGTATCTGCTAAGCAAGAGGAAGTTCTTTTTGAATCGATAAAATGTATCCTTATTTAAATTATTTATTAGATCATTATAAAAACTGTAAAAATGTAATCAGATGTAATTAAAATAATCCTCTGCAAAAGACAAAATATTCATCTTGGTGGTATATGTATTAAATTTTCTGTTGAGGAAGAATAGTCTTATCACAAGAATAATACACAGAAGTTGGGTTGTCTCAGGTTTTTTTTTCTGATAACAAAATATAATTGGGTAGTGAGAAACTTCTATGAATGTTATCATTCTAAATACAAAAGTCAAATATTTATAGGCACAATACCAATAACATCTTTTGAAACTACTGTAAAATTGATATTAAAAATGGACTCTACTGAGGATTTCATCACATCAATTAGAGTATGAAATGTGGGAAGGAAACAAAGCATGTTAAAATATCAAAATTCATTAAAAATCCTAAGCATTATGAATAACTGCAATTAATATGTTCTAGTAATTACAAATGTACTTCATTGTATCTTTAACAAATCAACAACTATGATATTTTACTTATAGTAATACAAGAAAAATATCTAATTACATAAAATCAAACATTTTTATTGACAAAGTTTTTGGAAATTCATTTTCTCTTAAATATAAACATTTCAGCAAATACTTTTTTTGTTCTATATTTTTCATTAAAGCAATTTCTTTTTTATAATATTATTTTTAAAACAAACATTATGATAACCTTGAGAATCATGTAAATAACTAGAAAGGTATACTACTTATTAAAATAAATTTCTTTTGGAGATATATTACTATGTTAGTCACAATCCACTTTACTAATTTTAAATGGAATTTACAACTTTTACCTTGCCAGCTTCTCTATACTAATTGACATAGGAAATACCCTTATGAGAAAATTTTGAGCTGTGATGATGGTTTGCTTGGTAAGTTTTAAATGTTATCATTTCAGAGACAACATTTAATGATGAGTAAAATATCAAGGTGGCATCACCATGAATAGTGTTTACAAACAGATTAAGTGGGGACAAATATTGACACTGAGGACAGCCATGGGACCACAAAGACTGACTAAAGCACCACTGAGATATTCAGAATCCAATGAGGGATTTTATGAGGTTGAGTCAGAGATCATAAATTGAGTGGCACTCATTAGAAGGGGAGAAATAGAAAACCTCTTTCTTTTGGAGAAATGGAAAATGCCATACTTTACAGCTCAATTGAAATGAAAAAAAAAAAAAAAAAGAACCAAGAAAGATCTTTGTTCCTAACTTATCATTTACTGATAACTGAGTATGCAGTATTTATTGTTCTTTGCATTATGGGAAAGAAAAGGCACGTGAAGCATCACTTTGACCTTTAAATGTTTACAATAAACTGAAAATATTTAATAAATACAATTTATAATAAACAAAAGAGAACATAAAAATATGTGGAAATTTTTAAATTGTGTTTTCTATTCTTTTTTTTTTTT